TGTGATATCAATTGAGTTTGTTTTGCAGAGATCTGTGGGAAAAGGTAGAGAGATCTAAATCCCATTTCTCCTCATTTGCCTGTTTCTGTGTTGATGAAAACTCCAGAGTTTTCTGTTTCTTTCTCCCCTGCATCTGCTGGAAGCTGGGATAACAGGGGTGTTGGAGGGACTTTCCTTTCTCCAGACAGCGATCTGAACAGGATGAGTTGGCACACGTATGCTGCGGGCCCTGCTCTGCTCCGGGCTGTGGTGTGCCGGGTGCTCGCTGGCTGTACTGGGAACTTAGTGCACTTAGGATCACATCTTGTATTACTAAAAGATAATAATTATATGGCCTTTTAAAAATTTATGCAGGATCGCATTTCACAAAAGAAACATTTGTATACTTCCAGATGAGTCATTTCTACTGTGCCCTGTCAAACTACACTCAAAGCAGCAATTCCACTTAACAGAACTTCTTCACTAATGTATCCAAGGACATTTGGTCATTACATTGTAGAGGATTATTGAAAAATTGTATTTTGGGTTGCTCTCAAGATACAGACATGAAAGGAGAAGTAGATTTTGTAGCCCTTTTCAAAAGCAAGTAAATTAAAATGTAACTGACTGAAATTTAATGACTATTTTTATATTGCAAACAGTGTTTATGAGTAAGGCATCCCGCTCATCATCACAAAAAACAATGTTAGATGGGAAAGCAAGCAAAAAATAGCTGGTGTTGCACTGACTACACTTCAAAAAGTTGTGTGCCTCTGCAATGGCATATGATTTCTGCCTTCTGTAAGAAAGCTGGGATAATATAACATTCTTTGGCTCCTTTGTGATATTTTTTTAATTCTATCCCATTAGACACTTCCACATCAATGAAGGGGTAATTCCATGTGTTTATGTGTCTCTATAAGGTCACTTGAGAAGTCAACACATATTCATATGGTTCCTGGTCTTATCAGGAATGCTACAGGAAGGAAGAGAGTAATGTGCTTGACCTTGGTTTCAGTCAAAACCCGATGGACGTTCTGGTAGTGTAGAGCTGAAAACAAAGAAATTCAACTTTATGAGTGTGGGTTTTTAAATTTTGTCTCTTTCCATTAAAAGAGTGAAATTTATCCATGTAAAACAAGATCTATTAAGAAAAAATGCTTTTCTGTTAACACACAACTTCTGAATTTACTTATAAATTGTTTTCAGTGAAAACAACTACAAAATCATACAAACCTAATGATGTTTTTGTGTCATAGACATACCAGTAACATACTTAAGAGGTATCCATTCTGAGGCATAGTCAGAGAATTCTAACTGAATTAAATATTTGATATCAAGCCATGGCAAATAGACACCTTATCAAAAATAATGCATTTATCTTTTTTGCAATATATTTTAATTCCTTTGCTTTCTGTCCTTTTTTTTCCTTTTTACGTTTAAGTATAATTTACAGTATATTTGTTTACTCCTTGGCCTGCTGATAGTAACTTAACTCATTGCTCTGATTCATTTTTGCTTTGGGAATCCGGTGGATACATTTTCCACCTAATACACTTTTTTTTTTGCTGCTCAGATCCCACGACTGCTAGTGAGAGCTGTATGGTTTAAAAACTCCCTTCACTAAGCTTCTGTTTTACCTGCTTAAATAAATCTCTCATGAGTCATTGAGGCTGCCTTTCATGTTGCCACAGGATCTCTTTCTTTGGAAGATGATCTAATTTTTGACATCTTGTTCTCCGTAATGATTTTGTGCAGGGATGTTAGGTTTTAGCTTCCCTCTAATGCTATCTACTCCCCAAAGATAGAATTAAGTCTTCATTTGAAAGATATATGTTCTTGCAGTTCCGGGAGTTGAATAATTCCTTTTTTGTGTTCCCTAATACAGCAAATGCTTATGGCTTTATCATATTTCTGCCCAAATTATCATCTTTCTTCCCAAATCATTTTGCCAAAGCTCCATGTCTGTAGAAATAGGTAGGAAAGACTAAAATTTAAGGTCTTTTCTTCCTTTCTTCAAATTCCTGTTTTGGTAAAGATTGCAGAGATTTAAGTATTACTTCCCCTTGCTTGTTCATGTGTTTCTTCCCCCTTATACATCATTGCTGACTGCTTGTGGAATGTGCTTCTGTTATAGAATGGTAAAATTTAAGTGGCTTTTGAGTCTCAGGGGTTATGAGATTAGGTTTAGATTTCTGCTTCTCAGCCTATTCCTTCATTATGAATCATAGAGAAACTTCAGGTTTGGGAGAGATTTCTTTTAAGATTAGGTTCAAGTTTTGATGAAGTTTTGTGAGAAAGTTCTCAAAATTCTGAATTGGAATTGTTTGACATATCAGAGGAACAATATATGTTTCTAGACTTCTCTCAGATTGAGCTGGATCAGCTCAATAACAGCTCAAAAGATTTTAGTGCTACTAGAATTTTGAAGTTGAATTGTTCAAACTAACCTCATCCACAGTCTTTCACTTCAGTCTGAAGGGAAGCTGTTGTTGATCCATCTCTAGTTTCTATTAAATTGTGGTCCTGCAGTCTTTCTGGTCTGTGGTTATGGTCTCGCTTTCTCTGTTCTTGAGAAACATGAGTACTGTGTCAAAGCATGATTTTCTTCTGTGTGATATGACTTACTGGATGTTATGTGGAAAATTAACATGGAAGAGACCGAAATTACTTGGCAACTATTTCTTTTGAAAAAACAATTATGTAAGAAAGAACACAAGTGGAAGGAAAGAGAGGCAGTCTGAAAGGAGCTGCCTTGAGACACATAGGTGATCACAGAATTCTTGGTCTAGATGATCTTTCAAGGTCCCTTCCAATCCCTAACCTTCTGTGATTCTGTGATTCTGTGATCCGGTTCCCGTATGATGATGCTAAGTTGCAGCAAAGTAATGTCTTATCAGAAAGACCAAACTGTGCTGTCAGGGAACATTTTGATGATGGTATGACTCATCAGTTCCCCAAGGCATTAGTGTCCCAACTTCATCTCAGTGAAAATAAGAATGTTTAATACTTCCCAGAAGAAAAAAAAAAAAAAAAAGACAAAAAATATTCCAGAAGCCTGCATAGTGTCTGTGCTCACTAACCCAAAATGAGCTCTATGGCTGTCCTTTTGTACCAGACTTTTTCTCCTACTTTCAACCCCTCCTCAGCCTTCCAGGTTTCATGATCTTTTGAGGCCAGATGGGTCTGGGTTCTGCAGTCCATATTTGAGCATTTGTCCCCCGTTCTGAATGGAGCACTAACCATACATAAAAATCTAAAACCATCAGGGTATCTCTCAATATTAACTTTTACTTAGAGAAATTCAATGCAAACAGTAGAAATTAGCTGTGGAGTAGTATCAGCTGCTGCAATGTCTTATCTGGCTTCTCTAGACTTCTGTGGTTGTAGTGGGAGGGGCAACAGTTGGCTTTTAACCTTTTCTTTTGCTTTCAACCTGGCTGATATTTTTTTTTGTTCTTATCTCATTCCTGTTTTTCAAAAAAACAACAAAACCACAAAGAGGGAAAACAAACTGGATTTAATTTTCTGTCCATTAGGCTAATATTGTAATTGATGCTAAGATGTTCCTTCTTGTACACATTTTTTACAGTACAGTCTATGCCATAATCTATAGTGGAGTGAGCTAAAGTTTATAGGGAGACCTGACTCAGAAATACTGTGCCTAAAGTTGCAAAAATTAGAGGAGTTACCCAAGTCCCATAAAATAAAATTAATCTGTTGAGCTGTGCTTTTTACAAATATAATTTGCCCAAATGAGCTTTAGTTCTAGTTACCCTTTTCTAACTGTCTTTTGCTTTGGAGTGAATCTGTCACTACTTATATTTTGGTAGCAATAATGATGACCATCTTGAATAATGTTTAGTGAGATTTTGCACAAATATATTTTTTATTTTAAATGGTAATACTACTAATTCATCAGTCTCAGTATTTGAAAAATACATAAAAGAGGTTCAAGCAACTTCTGACATAGTTATCACAGGTAGTTCAATCTGGTAAATAGACAAATTAAGATACAGCATCAGATGTGGCAGGAAATGTTGGGTCATCTGTTTCGATTGAAATCTCACATCCTCAGTCATGTAACAGTGCAGCAGCAAGTGTAAGAGAGGTTGACCTCCTCTCTTCCCTCCCAGGTGAATCAGCTCCCTAGAGGGAGAGGCAGCAGGAGCTATTCTGAACACTGCACAGTCTGTCCCCCAAGGGAGAACATGCCAAGCCTGATCTGGGAAAAGAGCAGGCAGATTCCCCTCTCAAAGAGAGGAGAAGTGTCCATTAGTACTGTATGTACTTTGCAATAGGCTGTATGTCTTTATTTGTAGAGCTTTTTTCAGTTAGGAAACATGAACTCATTCTTTCACCTGAATGCATGTCATTTACTAGTTATAATTTCCATAGGTTTACTTTCTTACAGTGGTTTTAAGAGTTTTTCTTGGCCCTTGATGGTAGTACTTCCTTCCAGAAACCAACAGGGAGTGTGTATGGAAACTTCCTAATGTAGCTCAGCTACTGTCCTGATGAGAATTTTCTCACTGGCAACAGACCCCTGTGTTGGACCAGTTATAACCACTGAAGGGAGAGGGAATGGGTGATTGTTTGTCTGGTTTTTGTCTTTTTTTAATCTTTTCAAATTAATTACCAGTTGTGTTTACAGGACAAAACTATCAGCACTATCTTCAACAGGAAAAAAAAATATGAAAGAAGAAAGCAAGCCAAAATATTAAATTAAAGAGAAACCACTTTTAGGCAGAAATTTCACAGGCATTTTCCCTTTGAGAAGCATATTTAAGACAGTTTTTGCATATACCAGGATGTTTTAAGATAAAATAATCCATATACTAAAACAGAGTTATACTTCCAAGTTTCTAGTTAAAAAAAATATCAATTCTACAGAGTTTCTAGATATAAAATATGTAAATTGTATTAGTAATATTTTTTTAAGAATTATACACTAGTCTGTTTAATTGTATGCATTTCATTAGTGACACTGTGTAGTGAATCTGTCTGTGTCTTTGCAATAGGCTGGGACAAATGGTTATATGGCTCCAGAAATCCTGAAGGAAGAGGAATACAGCTATCCTGTGGACTGGTTTGCTATGGGATGTAGTATTTATGAGATGATTGCTGGGCGAACACCATTCAAGGATTTCAAAGAAAAGGTCAATAAGGATGAAGTCAAAAGAAGAACTCTGGAAGATGAGGTGCAATTTGAACATGCCAACTTTACAGAGGAAGCAAAAGATATTTGCCGACTGTTTTTGGCCAAGAAAACAGAGGATCGTTTAGGAAGCAGGTATGCCTTACTTCTCAAACTCAGTGAAAGACAAATTAAAGGTGCAAACAATATTATTATTTTACATATTACACTAAGTGAGATCAGATCTTGACTTTCTACAGAGTACTGAATTTTCCTTTTCACTTCTAGGGAGAGAGAAGTGGAAGGTTTTGAAGATAGTGTAGAAATAAGGGATTTTGTTGCAATAATGATTATCCATCCTCACTCCAGACTACTGATAGGAGTTTTCTTCTTGGTATTTTGTGGGGTTAGACTCTCTATAGTTCTGAGAGAATGGAGCAGCTCATTTCTCTTGCATTTTCTTTCCTAAAGGTAAAGTACATTCGAGTAGATATCTGCATCTATATTATTGCAGAGTGAATGCAGAATCTTAGGCTGTATCACTTACTGGAATGATACAGGCAAAAATCCAAATCTGCAGTGTGGATTCTCTTCCCTGCAGATATCTAACTTGCAAGGCTGCGTCACTGGCTTCCTACTGAAAAGACCTTAAACCCTCTGCTTTACTGAAATGCTTTTAAAAAATCTTGTAGAGGTTTTGGTCTTTCTAACTCATCCTGGGGAGGAAAGAGAGGAAAAGAATATTGGGCACAGATTCTTATGAAGTAAAACATTTTTTGGGACTTCAGAGATGCTTTTAGGATGATGAAGACTGGTGGATGTATCCCTGAGTTAGCAATTTCAAGTCATGGTTCAGTAAGAAGCTAAGCATTGTAATACATAACTTGTAATATTTCTGATCCCTCTGATACACACACATAAATAATTTAGTGCATTTCTAATGAGACAGACTGGGGATCTACATTTGCAATATAGACAAAATAAAAGAAATATAATAAAAATGTAAAAAATTAAGAGGAAACTGATAGAACCTGTTGTTAGGATATACCATGATTTGAATCACCTATGAATAGAAATGTATGTATCAGGTGTTTTTCCAGTCCAAAGGTGAAATAGATGCAGAGACTTAATAAAAATACATAGATAGTCTTCTAAATTTATGTTTCATAACAATGAGGAATAGTTTTGCAAAATGTTAATCACACATTTGCCTGAAAGAATTAACTTTAATGAAAGGTAATATATCGTTAATATACATATTCTTCTTATTCCATTGCTAAATGAAGACAACTACTCTTTATGCCTGATGAGTTTTCCTAACAGCTCTGCAAGGCTGCAGAAAAAAAATATTTTCAACAGCACGTTGAATATGTTTGATACAAAATATGTATTATTTTTAATACATTTTAAAAGCTTGTTTTAAAAACCATACAAAGCGTTTAGAGCAGTCTACCTAACAAACAAGTGTGCTTTGCAGACATTGTCTTACAGCATTTTGTGAAGTAAACAAATTTCAGAGTAGGGGAAAAATAAATTTAGACATTCTGAGTGACTTGGTCAAGTTCATTCAGCAAGTCTGAAGCAAAACCAGCAACAGACTACTCACTTACTGGAGTATCTGGGAATCATTTACAATCACTGTTTACTGTTATGTTATTTCTCAGCTATGAGAGAAATGTGCACAGAAAGGTAATTGCACAAATTATTTTCTCTTTTCTGCTATTTAAGATATTCCTGCTTTTATGTGCTGTACTCAGAGAAGGAAAGTGATAGGATGTATACCATGCCTGGGTGATACAGAATAAAAGCTTGCATGTACCTCTTAATACTATTCAGGTGATACTATTCAGGGCAGCTCATCCTTATGTAAAGATTAGCACCGTAATGCTACTAAGGACAACAAGACCTTGGGTTATCTACATAAGTGCCTGTTGCATAAGTTAAAGCTGCTCAAGAACAGCTTTACTTTGTACACCTGACCTTTTAAAATACCCCACTCTTTTATTGAAGACTCAGTGTCACTAACTCAGGAAAGGTGTAACCCTTTTTCTCTACTCAAGGTTTTTGGGATTGACATCTCAAATCCCAAATCTGTAAAGTGATTTTGTTTTTTTTTTAATGGAGGAATACAACATTGACAGAGTTCAGATGAGTTCACTTGCTTTCTATTGAAGTTACGTAAATGTGCAACTCGCACAGGAAGAGCTGAAGTTCATCTCCAGGTGGCTGAAAGATGCCTCAGTTGGTTCCAGTAGATGGCGTTCCTGTAGCTTTCTGGTTTTCAACTTTTTATAAGTTTTGGTGGTGTCAGAAAATACATCAGGAGGAGAAAGACTGCAGCAATCCATTCTGGAGCCTTCACCAGCTTCTGGTGCTTTTTGGTAAATGTTACAGAAAGGAAGAGCAAATAAAGTGAAATTTTTGTGAGTGTGTCTGCCCAGCAGGATTGTTGGCACTACTAGCACACTAGTGTCCTAGGACACTAATTAATTTGAACAGCAACTCTAATGCACTTCAATCTAATAGCAAATGTAAAAAAACCACATCAAGCTGGAGGGCTGCTCAAGTACTTGGTTATCTCTAGTTAGTTAAGTTAGGAGGTGATTTTGCAAGACTATGTATATGCAGAGGTCATGATCCCTGTTGGCTTACTCTATACATTCATAATTTTATTCATATGGCTCTTTTGGGTTGAAAACATCATTTTTTCATTGCCCTGGGTGCCTGGATGGCAGCATCTATCGTTCTTCAGGCTGTGATTTAGCATCCTCGTCATGGTGGTGTGCAGTGGTTAGTGGCTGGTGGTGACATGCTCAGAAGAACCAGGCTGCAGAGGCACAAAATGACAATTTTCAAACAAGGAAGCTGAAAAAGACAGCTGGTGGTTTCATCTCAGTTGTGCCTGGATAGCACCAAGGCAGGCCAGAAGGATGGCAGGACAGCATATGAGGAACTGGCAGTAATGGCAAGCTGGAGGAGCTGTTCTGCGTGTGTGCTATAAGGTCTTAAAAAAGGAAGATTTTCTATAGTCACACAAATCTGCTACTTCTGTATGGTGCTTCTACACATTTGCAAAGATAAAAAGACTTGCCAGAGGTTTGTGTTGCATTTTATTCATAGAATGTTGTTTAGAAATACATGAGGGCTTACACTTGGCTAAGTATATGATTTAGTGAGGAAGTGGGGAAAAGAAAAAACCAAGATGTCAGCAACTACCATTTTCTCAGGCCAAAACGCAGACAAATGTGGTTTTCCTACGTTTCCATTTTCAAGGTCCATAGGTGTAGAAAATACAGTGGTCCTCTCTGCTCCTTCTTTCACTAGAATTCAAACCTCAAACTTTGCATGCCTTGACACTAGAGGCACAGTTCAAAAGCTGTGGTCCTTGGTCATGCTTTAACAAGCATACATTTGAGGCTCAGATTATTCTTATCATCAGAATATCCCACAAGTCTCTCTATGGATTTACAATGAAACAATTCACGGTTTCTTTTGTAACAAAAGTTCTCCCTGAATTATGCAGGTTTTTTTCATAAGTTGTACTTAAAATATGTATTTGCAATTATTTTAGTCCTTTCTGGATTTTATTACTGGGTTGTAACAGTATTAATAAAGGATTGTGTTTGTGACAGTGGCACACATACTTTTGCTAATGTCATTATTTGTGAATTTCTTTCTTAAAATTTTTGTTAATTTATAAGAATAGTTCATTTGAGTGAACACACTCACTGAAAATGGGAGTGTTTATTAGAGCAACATAACTGAGTTTTATGATGTAAACACATAGCTGCTTTGAATTAACATAAAACCAGAAATGTCATTTGTCACCACTTACCTGTTCGGACTTGTTCCTCAGAGTCAGTCCCTAGATGTATTAACCCAGTGTACCCCAGTCTAGAGTTTAGTACATGGAATCCTAGAATCATAGAATGGTTTGGGTTGGAAGGGACCTTGAAGATCATCTAGTTCCACCCTGTCCTTGAACACTTCCAGTGAAGGGGCATCCCAAGGAAGTTGTGGCTGCCCCCTCCCTGGAAGTGTTCAAGGCCAGGCTGGATGAGGCTTTGAGCAACCTGGTCTAGTGGAAGGTGTCCCTGCTGATGGCAGGGGGGATGGAACTAGATGATCTTTAAGGTCCCTTCCAACTCAAACCATTCTGTGATTCTATGATCCAGAACTTCCCTGGGCAACCTGTTCCAGTGTCTCACCACCCTCGCAGTAAAGAATTTCTTCCTAATATTGAATCTAAACCTCTTCTCTTCCAGTTTAAAGCCATTGTCCCTTGTTCTATCATTAACTGGCCTTATGAAAATTCCCTCCTTAGCTTTCCTGTAGGCCCCTTCAGGTACTGGAAGGCCACTATAATGTCTCCCTGGAGCAGCCTCAAGTCTCATATTCTTACCCTAGTTAATGTAGCACCAACCACTAGACTTTCATTGTTGGACAGTAAATCTAATACTTCCCCTCCCCATCCTGCTGTATTTTCAGTTCTGGTTAGAGTGTATCTTTGGATATGGGTACCTCAGTGTGCTGCCAGAAGCAGCACTGCAACTCTTGTGTGGCACCTTGCCCAGACTAATTTACCCTGAGAGGTAAAGTAATGAATAATGGGATCAGGATGTTTTCTGCCTCTCAGCTTTGTTTATATTGTGCAATGCAGCATTCTTTGGTTATGAGAAAAAGGAATTGCATTGCATGAGATGTGTGTGTATGTGTATATATATGTATATCTGTATCTCCTTACCTTAAAATAGACATGTATACAACACAAGGACACACCTGAGAGCATCTGATTGCAAAACAATGTAATGATTAACAAACTTTTGCTTTATTGCAGAAGTGAAGATGATGATCCAAGAAAACATTGTTTCTTCAAAACAATAAATTTCCACAGGCTAGAGGCAAACCTTGTTGACCCTCCATTTGTGCCAGATCCATCAGTTGTCTATGCCAGAGATCTTGCAGACATTGCTGACTTCTCTGAAGTACGAGGAATTGAGTTTGATGACAAAGATAAGAAGTTCTTCAAAAAGTTTGCGACGGGTGCTGTCCCTATAGCCTGGCAGGAAGAAATTATTGAAACAGGACTGTTTGATGAACTGAATGATCCTAGCAGAGCAGATTCTGGGGGATATGCAAATGGAGGTGAAGCTAAGTCAGGAGTCTGTTTGTTGTTGTAAATATCACATAATTAACAAAAAGAGTAGAAACCACCTCAGAACTTTCCATATTCTGACACTGCTTCAGAAACTCCATGCATCTGTTTAAGAAGAACCAATCGGTGTAATGTGACATTGACAGGCTATGTAGGACCACCAGCTGTATAGACTATATTGTTTTCCTTTGCTCTAACAAATGAGATATTTTTGTTTTATTGAAGATTTATCAAGATGAAGAACCATATTTCTCTAAGAAACTTAGAATGATAGGAATTCTGCAATACAAAAAGTGATAACAGAGTGAAGAGGCAACACCTTTTGAAAATGACTGACTACCATTTTGAATACATTCATTTGTTGGTTTTCTTTCTATTGTCTTGTTATTTTTGTTAATATTTCCTCTTCATTCTACAGTTTTCAAGAAAGAATTTTTTAATTTTCAAGTAATATCCTCAGCTAGACAATGGAGCTCACACACCATTTCAAATTTGGAATCTTACTGGTTAGATAGTCTGTCTGTTGTTAATTTCTGTTAGTTTTTGAATGGTTTGATTGTAATATGCTCAAATTGTCATAAAATGTAAAAGAAGGCTCTATATATCATTAGGAAATAGGACTGACAGGATCAAACTTTTTTCAACGTTGATTTTAACGGAGTGAAGATAAGATTGCACTAAATTAATTGAATAAAGCATTTATTTATTAAGTGTATTCTTTTAAGTGATAATACAATATACAAAGGTCTTTTGACAATCAATTTTAAACTTTTATCAGGTTTCATAATAATTTTTCTGTATTTTGGAGATAAATTAAGCTACAAATAGACCAAAACAATTTGTAACAGGCTTTTTACAAGACATTTATTTCACTGCAATATAAATTTTAGTTTAGTAGTTTGAAATTCGTTATACTGTTACAGTGCTGTAACACTGGAAAGGTTGTGTGTTGACACCATCTTCAAATGTTCGTTGATTCTCATGCAAATTTTGATGTGTTTTATTTTTCAATTTTATGTCAACCTAAATTGAATTAATTGGAAACATTTCTGCAAATGCTTGCTACTGCTGAAGTGTGTTACTTGTGAGGTGCATCCTGCTGATTTTCTCTGGTAAGAAAAAAGGGGGTAGTTGTTTGCAACAACTTTTAAAACTGGTTCTGCGTGCTGTTTACTGTCATCTTCCACTAAAGTGGAAGTCGGAACTGCTCCGTTCCTTGGAGTCCTGGAGGCTGCTAATACCCCGTTTCCTATTTTTCATAGAGCAAACCTCCTACTGAACTCAAAGAGTTCTTTTATATAGACCCTGGGATTGAACTCACATCTGTTTTAAAAGAGGAAAACCAATAGATATGATGTCTTCTGTAATCGGGTCAATCATGTGCAACACATAGCTTTAGTACTTATTTATAATCTAATAGCTCATCCCAAACATTGCAGTAGTCAAAAACTCTTTAGTTTTAAATACTTTAAGTTATTTAGTCACAGCTACATAATACAGTGATAATAGATTGTGTTGTTCTAAGTAGAAAAAAGAATTGTTCCTTTTATACTTTTAAATTTGCTTTTCTAGTGCTTTATATACTTCATTTTCAAGTGAAATTCATGGAGAACACTGTTTCTTAGGATTAGTGGATAATTCTGTTCATGAATTATGAGCATACTATTGTCTGCCTTTTGAGGGGACTTTATGTCAAGTATTTTAAAACAATAGAAGCTGAATTCTGACTTGGGCTTTTAATTGAGAAGGATGATCCTGAAAGATTGTGAAAAGCAGAGAAGGTTGAGAGGAAAGAGTCATGTGGTTCTGTCATGGATTTAGGAGACTGCTTCTACTGCTGACATCCAGTGATTTTAGTTCTCATTGCTCCCATCTGTAGAAAACTCTTGCAGTGTGGTATTAGGCTAATATATTCAGAAAACCCAGACATAAAACTTTATTATGTATATATTTAAAAAAAAAACACCACAAAAACCCACAACACCGCACCCCCACTGCTACCTTATTACGGACAGGAGAGACCTGCTAGTGCTAGTGGCATCAGACTTTTGTCCTGAATTGGTACACCTCAGATCCATAGAAATGCCACTTCACAAATCCTCCAGAACCTTAAAGCAGCACGCTGAAATGGCTGCAGGTTTTCTAATGCAGAACTAATTTTTCAGTATATACATGTTGCAGTATGGAAGGAGGTTATGTATAGACAGAACTAGAATTTAATGTCGTGTTAGAATTATACATCCCCTATGATACCAGGTGTTGCAGCTCCAGGTTTTTCAAAATGTATTGCAATAGTGAGATCTGTGAATTCAGGACATCATATGCACATAATACCAGGTTATTTAATTTTAGAAATGTTATAGTGCCCGTAAATCCCAGCAGCATGTATATCGGTGAGATACTGTAATGTTAAGTGTTCCATGAATCATTCAAAGAAGCACATCAGGAGTCTGATAATGCACAGTTTGGCACAGTGTATGACAGAGAAAAATGTGTTGATTTGAAATTACTCATTTTAATTTTCTAAAATTCTCTGTTTCAGAATCTGGATAACTTGTGTTTGCACTATGAAGAGTTAGAGCAGAGCAAAGATTATTTCTGTTAGTGTTTTCAGTGCATCTTTAAAAAATTAATTTCAGCTTCTTTTAAGGAATATGTGAAGTACTTGGTTCTTCTTCCTGCCACTGTAAAGTTCCTTGTTAAAGTTTCAGGAACAATGTTACTTTTAAGATCCTGCTTCACCTTAACAAAACCAAGCCAGTGATCCTAAAAGATGTACGCGCTTGATGAATTGTCTTATTGCAGCCAATGGTGCTACTCCTGTGAGTAAACGTAAATGTGTATGCAAGTGTGCGAGATCAGGGCCCAAGTCAAAAGTATTGACCGAGTGTCAGTGATGTTTATGATAGAAAATGAGGGATGAAGTTGTGGGAGGAAAATAACCTTGTGGTTGTTGGATACTTAAGTTCTTGTGGCAAAAGAAAATTATGTCATTTGAAACTGCTATTTTTTTCTTCTTGCTGTCTCTCTTTTTCTTCCTTTGCCAGCTTTGTGTTGTCTCACTTGCCTGCCTCTTTTTCAGGCAGATAAGATGCATTCAAATGTTAATCTAATCTAAAAAACTAAATTGTGAACTCTATTGCATTAAATGCCATCTGTTAAAAGTTACCTAGTGCCCTGGCCACTCTGCAGTGATTGTGCTAACAGTGCTGTCTTTCCTGCCCTGTTTTACTTTGTATTGCTATTAGAACTACTTGATAATTTCAACTGAAGAAGGCTGAAATGTGAGATTTGTAATGGTTTGAAATCTCTTCTTATAAGAACATCATTTACAGTACTCTGGACAACACTGAAGAAAGGCTGCTGGCACTGAGAAGGTATAAAAGGAAGAACCTTCCATTGTATCTCAAGTCCAAATTGTCTTTGATACCATCCCTGTTACCTTTAGCATTACCCCACCATTTTCACTGAGCATGAAGAGACAAAATGAGGTTTAGTATTAACCTAATGATTTCGTTAGGTTCACAGAGATAATATTTATCAGTGGCAATAAAGCTCTAGCTGTGTACCTTGTATCATGGCAAAGGCTCATGTAGTCAGTAAGCACCTTGTGTTGCTGCAGGTAGTTCACTTTTCTATTCCAGAATGAAATAGATTTAGTAATTGGAACCTGCATGCAACTTCCAGACTATCAAGTAGCATTGGTATTACGGAAGGCAACTTTAAGAGCCTCTTAGCAAACATAATACTTGAGATGATAGTTATTTCTTCAGCCATCAACAAATGTCAATACAGAAAGCAAAATGGAACTAAGATGGAATATCTAGTTAGAGCAGATGCCTGTCATTGTGCAGTGTAGCTATGAAGTGATGCGTGGTTGTATATACTTTTAATATCAGCATTGTTTTTTAGAAATAAAATGCTCGTAATACTGTATTTAAAATATTGTTGCTGTCACAGCTTTTAATGATATATATGTAATATTTTTCTGATCTGAATATCCAGATCTATGATTAAGATAAGCAAGTATGCTCATGCCAATTACCTTAAAAATATAAATTTATTCTTTTATGCTATGATAATAATTTATATGTTTTTATAATTAGATTTTTAATACAAAAATATTTTAATTCCTTTAATCTTTTTATGCAGTAGTGAATTATAAAAAATAATTTTAATTATGTGCAGTGTTTTCTCTCTGTAAAAGCATTTAAATTAATTATTAAGATCTTAGTGACTGTGGGTCATAGCACCACAGAAGTACTGAAAATCCTACCAGTTCTGGGACTTTTGCTAGAAGCAAAGCATACATTTTTCACAATTGATAAACCCATCAATTTTGAAATCTATGGATTGCAGAAATTACTGGCTTTTTATAGTATGAGACCTATCACTTGTAATATTATGAGTAAAGGTCACCTTCGATCATTTTGGCATAGGGAGTACCTTTGAAACATTGCATTATGGTAGCCTTAGAGAGCTTCATAGACACCTTAAGGAACGCATGGACACAAACTGAAAAATTCAGTCAAGCGTATGACTTTTTATAATTGGGCAGTGCACTGTTACAGCAAGTAACTAAAAATCTAGTATTTCATTTAAAAAATAGACCAAAAGATTAATGTTTCTTAGGAAGTCATTGTTTGGTATTTCTCTGACTTTCATTTATATACTGTCTGAACTTAAGCAGAGCTAGTTTAAAATTCTTACCAGTTAGCCCTCTGCATTTGCAAAAGAGTGAAATACTTGGTGTTCATAAGGGAGTGGAAATCTTTTAGACACCTCTTGCCTGGAAAAGAGCAAGAGCAAGAGCACGAGGTGTGACTGTGTCTCTTACAATGCAAGTACCTACATCCATGGTAAAATATAGCTGGTGATATCTGTAGGTAGCACCATACACCATCCTTTGAGTCCATTTCCTTTATAGGTTGCGGTATATTGTCTTAGATTTATCCCACATCCATACTCTCTCTTGTCACCTCCAGAAGGCTGGCACGACAAAGCCACTTTAACTTTCAGGGAAACTTAGTGTTAGTTCTGTAGCTTGGACAGACAAAAGGTCCCATAAAGAATAGCTGTCAACACCATTTCAGTCAAGCATTACTCCAAGTGGTGAAAGGCTTTGGGGGTGGGGAGGAGACATGGGGTGGGGGGGGAAGAGTCTCTTTGAAACGGCTTCTGGATATGTTAGTTCTATTCCTTTTCCTCTGACAACTTTTGGGCAGCTGCAGTGGTTAATTCCTCCCTTTCCTGTTGACCAAGTACAAGCAGAGTCTGTTTTAGTAGCTGTTTTATCCTGTTTGTGCTCTTTATCCACACTTTTCAATGTCTGAGCTTTGTTAGTAGGCAGGTTTCTTCCAAGCGTTTTGTTT